CGGGTGGTAGTGGAAAACCTGGCGGTATGTTGTGGATAATAGCCAGGTTTCTGCTGGAGAGTGTGGCTGTGGGGTTGATGCGGTATTGTCCTGGGAGCCCGGGGCCGGTGGTAACAAATTGAAGGAGTCGTCGAGCCTGGGAGAGGTCATCGATCAGGCGGTCCAGCAAGATCAGGTCGCCGCGCAGTCGGTAAAGGAGGTTGTATGCTCTCTGGTCTTGAAAATAAGTCTGGCTTGGCATAGGTTCAGTGTGGAATGGGTGACGGCGGAGGTGTTGGTTGACCATAGAGAGGAGGTCCAAAGAGCCGTTGAGGGATTGAAAATCGGGTTGGGTACAAATCGAAGGTTGGAGCCAGCTCGGAGGGCACTGTGGGAGGTAGTGTTCTGTATCAGCGGGGTTGCTATGAGGGCGAGCGCGAGGATTGGCCATGACAAGTGATGGACTGTGATGGCGTACAAAAGGCTGCGGAGCTGAGGTGAGCCTGAAAACTGACAAATCGAAGGTGGGCAACTTGGTGAACATAGACTGGGTGTGAAGAACTAAAAGCCAGTGCATGTCAGTGGATTTGTCGTGCGGCACGCCGTAAGGAAAGTGGGTGAAACGGATCAAATGAAATAACTGCCAACTGGCGTGAGTGGAGATTTCTCCGGATGACTGTCTTCACTAAGCGCTCGCTCAGCAGCCGGCGGCAGCAGCACAGCAGCAGGAGTCGTTGGATATTGTGAAGTCGGTGGCGTTGTGGTGGGGGAAGGGGAGAAGTCCGGTTGTGAATGTGGTGCTGGGGAAACTGCTGGTGATGTGGGTGTTGGTGAGGGGGAAGGTGCTTGTCTTGGTGGTGCGGTTGGTAGTGGTGTGGAGAAGAGTTGCTGGTCCTGCTGACGTTGCATGTCTTTGAGTTCTTGCCATCGGGCTTGGCGTTGCTCAACGGAGAAACCCACTCGGCGGGCCACAGTGGTCCAGTTGGGACGAAGTTTTGGGTTTTCTTTGAGTTCGACCAGGCGACAGTCAGCGTCGCCGTCCCAAGCGTCCCAATCGGCCTGTCGGTTCAAAGGTGGTGGGGGTGGTTGCTTCCGCTTGCGTGTTGTGGTGGGTTGTGGATCAGGGGGTGTTGTTGGAGTGTCGTCTGAGTCTTGTAAGGGTGGTGCTGGTAAACGGATGGGTGGTCTGGATGGTGCTGAGTCACAGGATGAGGTGGTGGATGGTAAATGTATAGGGTGGTTGGGCGGAGTTGGAAGTGGCTGAAAGTGTTGGCGGAAAGTGGGGTCCGCTTGGTGGCTGTGGTGGAGGAAAACCGTGTGGAGGTGTGCTACAATATCTGTTGCTTGTCGGAGCAGGTTGTGCACCTGCGAAAGTGCCACTGCGGTTTTGTGTATGAGAGTTGAGGTGTCGTTTTGTAGAGGTGTCGGTGTGCTGCTCATGGGTCTGAGATGTAGGGGTGTGCAGTGGTCAAGAATCGTCACAGGTTGCTGCGGCAGCGCGCCAAAGCAGCCGGACAGCGGCGAGTCTGAGGGAGCGCGTCATCCCGAGGCCGTGCGTATGAATTAAGCGAGCATCAAATTCCCACAGGCAAAAGTGCGAGTATGCAATGCCGGTTGGACAATTGAGTACATGACTTGAAGAATCACTCTCCACGAGGCAGAATCTGACATGTGAAAGACTCCTTCAAAACAGCCGGTACAATTCAAAAAAGTTCTCAGCAAACACTGCGGTGCTAGAAAAATTGAGGGTTCAAAATGCCCGTGGCCGCTGCAGGAGGCTCTTTTTTGCTGCTACAGCAAAGGTTGGGTGGTGGTGTGAGACCAAAAGTGGATGTGGAGGTGGTAGTGGTGTGTAGATGTGTGGTAGTGGTGTTATGGGTCCGGTGGAGTGGAGTTGGTGGACCAGGCCAGTCCTTTGACAATGGCGTGGTCCGGGTGGATCACCCAGCAGCGGCCCTTCTGATGAAAGACCGCACCATGGTGGTCGTTGAGGAGGTTCATGGCGTGTTCCTCACCTCCAGAGGTATACTTTGTGGCAGCACCCCAAGCAAGGAGTGTGATGATAAGGGAATGGGAATTCTTGTGGAGTTGCCAGGTGTTGTGGATGATGCGGGCAAGTTCGTTGTGGTCATGGGGTTGGTTGTGGGTGATGCGAACGCCCTGGGCAAAAAATCCAGGGTAGTTGGCAAAGTGGAGTGTGCTGGGTAAAAAACGGCCTTGGCGTAGAATGTTGGAAATGTTGCCGACGGGGCCTGTGTGGCCTGCGTTGATGTGGGCGACTTCCCGGTGGGTTGATGTGGCGCGGGAAACCGCAGGTGGCTCTGGTGTAGTGGCTTTGGTGTTGAGGAAGGGAAGTGAAATGGCGTAGTACTGGAATTGGTCGTATTGGTGAGTTGTGTCGTTCCACTTAGCGTGGGTATATTGTCGGAAATCGGTGATCTCCTTGTAGGTGATGTTGCAGTCTGTGAGGATATTGGCAATGTACTGATGTTGTGGTCGGTTGGGATTGTCGAGTTGGGTGGCGTGGAATTCGAGCCATTCCAGGATTTGGTCTGCAGGTGTAAAGGTGTGAAAGTTGGGTGGAGGTCGCCAACGGTTGATTGGGCGACGGAGGACGGCTGTGGTGGGATATTGAGAGGGGTCCGGGTTGGTGTGTTCGGTGTTGGGGCGTAGATCAATGGGTTGTGGTGGCGAACGACTGCGGGATGGCGTAAGGCTAGATGTGTAGGTGGATGTTGAAGGCGACCGCCGTCGCCGGGTTGTGCTGTGATGTTTGGAGTGGCGGTGATGGCGATGTCGGCGGCGGTGGCGGTAGCGTCCTCTGTGGTGATGGTCGGACTTGCGTCGGCTCTTGTGGTGGTGGCGGCGACTGCTATGTGGTGGTTGTGGGGAAGGTGGTTGCGGTGCTGGTGAGGCAGTGGTGTCAGGTTTGTCTGGTGCTGGTAGTGAAGTTCCAGGCGCTGGTGTGGCAGATACCAGCGATGGGGATGCTGAATGTTGGGATACGGTAGCTGGTGGAGGCGTGTTTTGGACTGGTAATGGATTGTCCTGGGCAGTCGTGGGGATGGGTTGGATCGGTGGTGTTGGGTCCGATGGTAGCTGCTGTTGAGGTGGAGGTTGGGTTGGTGTTGAGGCGTTGATGGTTTGTGGAGGCGGTGGCGGGGGCAACGGTTGGAGTGGAGGCTGTGTGACGGGGGGAAAAGCTGAATAGGGTTGCCAAACGCCCTGGGGGATGGCGCATTGGGGGTCTGTGGATGGATAATTGGCAATCGCAGTCTGTTGCTGTGTTGGAGGGGGATGTGTCAGTGTAGTGGGGGGAGGAAGTTCAGCCGGTGGTGTGGGATGAGGTGGTGGCAACAGGTAGGACGGGGGAGGTGCTGCTGTCGGAAACACTGGAGTTGGATGTGTGGGTTGCGGTGGCACGTGACATGGTTGGACAAAAGTCCAAGTGGATGGTGTGCCGTAGGTCAGTGCAGTGGCGGTAGGGGTGGACACAAACGGTGGTGGTTGAAATGGTTGTGGTTGTGGGTGAGGGTATGCCGATGGTTGTGTCGAGGGAAAGGTGGGTGCAGTTGATGGTTGTGGCATCGGCCATGTGGGTTGAGGTTGTGTGGTAGGTAATGGTGGTGGCGTGGTGTGAGCGTAGGGCCACGGAAAATGCATGTCGTGGTCGTAGCTATGGCGCGGCGCGGCGCGGCAGCAAAAAGCAGCGGAGAAGTGCCGAGTTGTATTGTCTTGTTGTTGAAGGTGTCATCGCTGGTGTCAGTGGTGAGTATGTTGTAAGGTGGTGCTAAATGTAAGCTTGTTGGTAGGTGTGTGTTCATGCATCTCGAATTAAGCTGAAGAGTTGTAATGCCCATCCTTGAGTTCTGTCGATGAAAGAATCGCGGCAGCAACATAGCGAACATAGAAACACGCACATGATTGGAAAACATGAAAAGAAAACTGAATGCTGAAATCTGAGATCAGAAGTTCGGAATCTGAAAGATTCTTCAAGAACCGTTTTTTGGCCCGGCGGCCGGTGTGGCGGTTGATTCTGTGAGGGTGTCGGTGCCTTCCTGTGATGTTCCAGTGAGCGGTGGTGCGTTGGGGTGGTTGCTTTCCCACGCAAGAACGGCGCCCCTGTGACGGGGATCACACTCAGCACCCGAGTGGGACGGCTGAGCAGGACACACTTCGAACTTGGATTTTTCAGTTAACGCAATTGTCTCAATGGGAAAGAAGGCGATGGAACGGCAAGGTGGAAAGGTCAGCTTAAAATGTATTGTTTAACACAGGTTTCACGACAAGCGCAAATGGAGGCGGCGGTCAGCAGCTGCAGTGCAGTGGGAAACCTGTTTGTGGGGAAAGTATCATGTGGAACCACCATGAATCAAATCTTGGAAAAGTAGGGTGACAGCTTGTGGAAAAACTCAGCAGGTACACAATGCGGCGTCCCGCATTGCTTCACGACCGATCTATCACTGTCTTCGGTGGGCAGTGAGTGATAGTGGTCCACTGCCCCCCTGCCTGTGGAAAAGTGGTGGGGTAAGACCCTTTGTCCAGGGTGGGACAACACACACAGACTCACTTGGGATAAGAGTTCTTACGAAGGCTGCCAAGTGACTAGAAAAGGCGAAGTGAACAAATTGCCTGAGTGAAACAGGTAGTGTGCAGTGCAGTCCAACCACCTCGAACGGGCAAAAAAACTCTGAAGTCCACGAATCGGAGCGGTCGATGAGCAACGGCTGGTCATGGGTTCTACTCACAACGGGTCCCAATAGGAAGCGAAGAGTCATCATCTCAGCAGGTACACTGGAGTGAAGTGAGGTTTCCACCATTGCGTGTAGCTTCGTTGGCATGCGTATGCGTAATGGCTGCATTCCCCACGCTAAAATGTCAAGAAGGCACCTTTTGACTGCAAAGGTTACACACAGACCCAAGTGTCCATATCTGGTGGAACAGCACATGAGCATCTTGCTTCCATGTGGCCCATCCCCTCATCTTTGCCAAGCAGATTCCGTTGTTCCGGATCCGCAGAGGCGACGCCGCCATGGCCGCCCTCAACTCGGCCGCGGCTGGGTCCGGCTCGGCGACGGCCGGCGCGGGGGGCGACAAGAGTGTGGCGGGCGGCCTCGGGGCCTTCGGGGCCTTGGGGATGGAGCAAAAGGAAGTCCAAAAGCCTCCCAAAGAGCTGACCTTGGAGGCGGGAAAGGTTGTGGAGTTGTGGGCGACTGTCGAAAGGAGCTTGCTACTACACACAGGGTTGTGTGGTGTTGTGAATTTGGAAGTGACTGCGGTGGTGTTTCGATGTTTCCTCTGTCTTTTCGTGCTGTGGTCGGAAGGGACATGGGTGAAGTCGACTTTTGAAACCGATTTGAGGCAGCTTGCGCCGGTAAACACGCGCTCGAAAGGTGGGGCCCACGTGTCAAGAGTTTAGGCCCGGTGTCCCACAGACATCATAACCCATGTAAGGAGGATAGCAATTTCTATCGCTTCTTACGGGGACGAACGAAGAGCAGCGACACGATGGATTTGTGGTCTTTCCCCCCAGAGACCTCGTGGCGGTGGACCGCATGGAGCCCGTTGCAATCGCTGGCCTACTAGATCACTATATGTATATATATATATAGTGTTCTTTTGCTGAGAATCTTATGACAGATGACGACATCTAGATCAGCTGGCTGATCCGCCTATAATATAGGTGAGGCATACATGGCCGAAAAACAGTACTCAGTTTCGGAAGCTCCGACGGCGGAAGTGTGGATAGAAATCGAGGAATCTATGAGAGAGCCTCCTAGAGTTCGGAGTTGGGTCTGCCGCCGCTGCCAGCTCTGTCAAGGCCCTGGCCACCACTGGACAGCCTCTCGTGATGCCGCGGATCAACGACGATCTGCAGAAGCTGGTAACTCGGCGGCCAAGCGGCCAAGCCATGTGTCAACTGACCAGTAGCCTCATGGGAGTTTGGTTTGAACTGGTTGCAGCGGCTATTTCTATGCTGAGAGTGAGCCTCGAGTGCTTTCAGAGCCTGAAAGTGTTTGGTTGAATCAGCAGTGCATCGAGAATCTGTGAGTTTTTCTGATGACGAGGAGGTGAGGACGGTGAGGACAGCAGCCCTATCTTTCTAGGTTTGCAAGTCTCTGAGGAACATCGTGCCAAGTTCGCACAGCACCATCGTGCCTGGCTGCGTTTCGACGCCTATTCACGCGCGCCTTGGCGTTTTGTTGTGGTGTCACTCAGTCTTATATTTGCGGCTCTTGTTTTGCTTGGAAAAGAGGCGCCGACCTAGAAAGGTTGGATCAAAGTTCTACTACTGAGCGCTCTGCTGGTTTTGCTTCAACGATCAAAAGGATCGGCCTTTAGCATGAAGGGTGAACAAGAGGTGAATCATATATTGTGAGGATTAGTTTTGCTCAAAAACTGACTCGGTATTGGCCAAACCGGATGAGCCCAGTCGTCCATCAGCCCCAAAAAGCTCCGCCATACGCGATGGGACGACACTGGGACCTGGTCCGGCTTGAACGGCTCGAGGTGTCGATGGCATTGGGTATTAACCAGATGCTTCAATCCATGTCCTATTTCATCGCTGGTCCAGTACAGAAGCACAGGCATGGCAAGAAACAAGTTTGTGAGTATCAGGTGGCGCTGGGCCCGCTAAGGCTTCTTCAAAACATTCTGTTTTTCCTTGTGGATAGAATGTCCGGAGCAGTTGGCGACTCAATGACTCGATGGAGAATTTGTACACTTCGTGGCCGAACTACTGTGGGATGTTTGATGATGTTTGAGAGAAATCCATGTCAGTCGAGTCTATCTTAAGATAGGGAGCTTCCCAACGATCCCGTGTGAAAGGCAAAACAGACTATTATATATAGTTGACCGAAGCCCAGTTTTTAAATACAGACTTGTAGAGTAGATGTACGTTTGCACTTGGGAGAAGTTCTCTTTGCCCTCCAGGCCGAGCTTTGCTCTGATCACCGTGATCGGTGTACAGGTGTGGCACAGTGGAGAGTTTGGTGGTCAATGATCTGGTCAACCACTGATAGGGCCAGTGTTTTCCGCTTCGGATTATCTCGGTCAGTGGCGAGTCATTCGAGTGTCAAAAAGGCCATTGCCTTCTTTCTGGTGAAGCTCGATTGGCGATCGATGGATACGGACGAGTCGGACGATGAGGGGGAGTTTCAGAGAACAAAGAAGAAGGATGTGAGCAGTGTCTTGGTGACAGGGGGAGAATTCTGTGGGATTTTCTGAACTTTGGGTTCTCGTCTGAGGTGAGCAAACTTTTTGAATATAAGGCATGCGACATTCAGACCCGCCGGACGAGTGGAGCGAGCTCCAACAGGCAAAGAACCCTCCGACAAGCGGTTGACAAGACTCCAAAAGCAAAAGAGAGCAAATAGAAGGACAATAGGGAAATGGACTTATATCGTTTACTAGCTCTGTCTCTCTCTCTCTCTCTCTCTTGGTGGCCCTCTCTTGGTGGGGTCAGACAGCCCAAAACTCCTTGCACCTCGTTGTGAAATCAGCACAAAACAGCAGGCTTGAAGTGTCCAAAGGACATCATGTCTCTCTCGCAGATGTTCCAAGGCAGTCACACTCAAATTGATTCTGTGCTCCCCCGCAAAAAATGTATATCAAACAATCACCTCTTGGATTGTGTTTCGTTCTCTCTTGACTATGTGAAGCCTTCACCCGCCGCTCCGGCTGAGGCCTGCCTCTCATCGACTTCTTCGCCATCTCGGTCACTAACTTGTCGCTCGGTGCGTTGCCACCACCAAACCGCCGGGTGCCGACGATTTGGGTTGCGCCTGGTCTGGCGGTTTTTCTGAACGAAGCGCGATGGTGCTGCAGGGGGTTTGGTATACCGGGTGGTGCTGAACATTTGAGGTGTCCTCTGCTCTTGATCCCAGCAAAACCGATTCGAGGATTCCCTGAATCAGCCCATGCCTGAGAAATCCGAAGCCATGCCAAACCCGTGCCAGCCAAACATGCACAACAGAGGTGTCAGCCATGGCACTAGTTACTAGTTCTCTCTCCCACTCCACGCAATCCCCCGGCCTGATGCCTTCGTTGCGGAAGCGCCGCCGAGCCGAGCCTTTTGGTTCCGGGATCCTCAGGTTGCCTCCGGTGTGGATGGTCTTGATCCTCTGGTTGGCTCACTTCATTGACTCCACGGATGAGGGGAATTTGGACCACCAAGGACGGAGCGGAGGGGGTCGGAGACGTGACGTGATGAGCGAGGTCGGCCGAAGGAGGGAGGCGACCAGGAACTATGTCGTGACAACCCGGTGAGACGCGGACACTTTTGGCCATGGGTTCGTGAGTCTTTGCTGTAGGTCATGATATCAGACTGATCTTGTCAACAGGTGAAGTGAAGAATCCTCATATAATCATATATATATATATCACCATACAGAAATGTATGAAGCCACCTCTCCCCCCTTTGTGGAGATAGACACCGGTGATATCCTCATCTAAGAACCCGGCGAGCCGACAGCACGATTCCCAGGCCGGATAACTGCTCGAGTCCTGGCCACTCCCATCTTCTTCCTGCACGCCGCCTGGCCCCTCGACCAAGGACGAGTCCTGAGGGACCGCCCAAGTCGCCCAAGGGTTGGGCACTGTACTTACTGCAACCATGATGTGGGTATGGTATGTATTATTTTTCAGATTCAGAGATATTTAGAGAGTTTCAGAGATAGGTACCCCGAAACGCCTCCTTCCTACAGTTGCTCATGTGTTTTAGATGGTTTAGAAGCAGGAGCAGTTGTCCATGACTTTTGGGGTTGCATTGAGGATATAACAGGACCATATACTATGTTGTCCAATGTTGTCCCTCGAGTTGTTTCACAGCCTTTGCTGCGACCTGTTTGGGCTGGATTGAGAGTCCCCATGTCCCTATTGAACCAGTCGGATGAATGCCTAAGTACAGGTGTTCAGGATTCGTCAATTCGCCTTTGCCGGTTCAAGCCCCGCCGCTCCGCTACAGGTTATATTTGGTGCGCTGGTACATTGCTCCTCACCAACATGACTTGCTCCCGGTTCGACTACGAACGGTGGCATAGTTGCAGAGGTTGAGACGGACACCTGGGGTCTTGGTGGTTGCAGCGCTGTTGGTCATCCCCGTATATCCCGGTGGTCACAACGAGACTGCCTGATGTTGTGGTGGGGTTGGTGGAGCGAGGTGGGCTATTTGGATGTCTTCATGCGTGATGCCAAGCTGGTGCATGAGCAAGAGGAAGAGGATCTGGAGCAGGCCCTGGCCAGAAATTCGTGGGATCTGCAACTGGCAACCACCGTAGATTCAAGTCCAGGAAAAATGCAGCAATTGTTCACCGCATTTGACGGAGTTCCTTGTTCGGGGACCGAAAAGATTCAGAGGATCCCCTTTGCGACCAATGAGTATATATCTACTCAGTACTCATTTGGCTGTGGCCTACCCTGGTTTGGGGCTCCGGGTTTTGACCCATAGCCATTTCAAGTGCAAACTGAGTCCTCCAGTTCGACCTGAAAGGCTCGGAAAGAAGAGACCAGTCTACCCAGCCACCCAGGGCGAGATTTCGGGGTGTCTCTCCGTCCAAAAGGCCGGGCGGGCATCTCACCGGGTGTAGGTTGAGCATGACCTCCAGCCTGGCAGCGGAGGGTGGAGGTCTGGACCTGGGTTGGTTCCGAACTCCTGGGGGGCGCTCCGAACGGCAGGAGGTGGAGGCCTTTCCCCAGCCCCGGCGACGGAAGAGCACGCGCTGTCGGCACAACGAGGCGGCGATGAAAACCGTGGTGTGACCTGGTGCAACGAGGAGAGCGAGGATGGGGCAGGTTAGGATGTGGCTTTTTGTTCTCCAGACCACAGAGCCGGCAGAACGGTCTAATTGCCAACGAATGAACTGCACACTTCTACACAACTCCTCCACAGGTCTAGAACAGGTTTAGCTCAAGCAGTTTCTATTTGAACAGCTCAAGCTGCTGCTGCCTGCTGTGCTGTCCAGCGGTCTCCGGTGCCTGAGGTGTTGCGACAGTGTGGAAGACCTTTGGACATCCCATGAATGGGAGGCGGCCTGTCAAGAGTGTTTTTGTTTTTCTGCCACACGTCAGGCGTCTGGTGCATGGCTCTTCACAAACATGGAGAGACCCTGAAGCAGGGGGCTTTCGTTTACCTTTCACACAACACCCTAGCCCTCGATTTGATACACCCTAGATCGCATCTCGAAGTACCTGTCGGAGCAAGACCCTCAGCCTCCAGCAGAAGACACCCCTGTGACCAGCATGGCTGAGAAATGTTCCTGGTATGAAGGAAACCAGTGAGAAGGGATTGGATTTGAGGACTTCAGTTGAGCCGTGTTCTTCTTCTTTTTCTCGAGCAGGATGCTAATCCTGCCGTCACAACGCTCTGTTGGATGTTCGAAGGTGTCCTGCCACCTAGCCGTAGCCCTAAACCTCTGCTCCAAACATCGGAAATCTCAGGAGGACTACTTGGCCTCTGTTGAAACCTCTGGGCGCCGTGCCAAGAGCCGTGGACGAAAGACCCCCGAGCCCCAGAGCCCTGATGTGGAGGCCGCCAAGGCGGGAGGGGTCCAAAAGAGATGGCATCAGCGGCATGTAGACGGTTGATGACAAAAGCACCTCCCCACAAGAATGGTACCTGAATGGAGATGTATAATTCTACGCAACTTGCTGGAAGATCATTCTTGCAACCTCTGGAGCCCCCGGTGTCAGTTCCGTGCCGTTTCAACCGGCTCCTTGTGGCCAGGGCCATGCGCCGTCGGAATGTCAGCAATGCTTAGTGAGTCTCAGCAGAGTCGAGACGTGCGAATGATCGCTGTACGCCGTACGCATCAGAAGGTGCTTCACCAGACACCTGACTCGTGCGATGTTCGCACTCACAATGATAACTAACGATGTTCTGTCGGAAAAAAAAACCGCGTGAGTAGGAGTGTCCTCAGAGGTGGGGGTAGGCGGCAGGAGCTTAAACCGGGCCTTCCCCCAACCAAAATGTTACAATATATATATATATTATATATGTATAACTGTTCCTGATGGGGTTGCTGGTTGCAGAATGCGCTTGCTGCAAAAGGCCGACCTCGCTCCGGCAGAGGCAGCTTACCTCCCTTTCGTCCGGTCCAAACGCCGAGGCCCAAGCGGAAGCGGCCGCGGGGCCACGATCACGTCGCCTGGTTGGTGGTGGGTCGCTTCACCACGGTGATGATTTGGCTGTGGATCGGAGGAGGCGAGGGCGTCTCTTCGGATCGGTGAAATATGGGACTGGAATGGAGAAACACCAGCAACGAGGGTGGTTGAGTCAGTAAGTCACTACTATAGACTATAGGAGTCTTTTGAAATGTGCTGGACACCCAGGATTTAATATACAAAACCTTTGGAGTTGCGAAACACTAGAAACAACTTTGGAGTTGCGCAACCAGACAGTTTTTTGGCACTCCTTGTATGCAACGGGTGTGCATCGTCGTTTGGTGGTTTGTGTGGCGCCCCTCTTGATAGGCCTGACGCTGCGGGACCACAAGACCAACACCACTGAAAGGGAGCTTATTGTAGTAGCTTATTGTTTCTAATAGCTTCTTGTTACTACTAGCGAGGCACTTGTTACTACTAGTAAGAAGACTTCGACTTAGATCCCTGAGGAGGACTTCCATGTTGAAGTGACCGGGAGTGAAGTGACCTGATGTAACGAAATTCGGCTGACATGGCCAAGCGGATCGAGTCTTGAATCCAGGTCCGACTGACTCGGCTGACTTGGCCCGTCGCACGGAGTCAGGGCATTTTTTCTTGTTCTTTTTTCGGTGCGGGATGCGTGAGGCTTCATTCATATCACCAACTCCTTGCTGGACTTGGAAGGCACACCCAAGGACCTGAATGGCAATATTCAGGATCAGGCCAGGAAGGGGAGTCAATGAGCTGTGAAGATGTATAGTGTCCCCTAGCTGATGTACAGAGTAGCGGAAGGAAACACCCCTGGTGTAGTAGAGCATGCTCAAAAAATATGAGCTAGCCTTCTTGTTTGATCTGGCACTGGTTTTCTATTTGTGGGGAAACAAAACCATCTTCAGAGTTTCGAGATTGATTCCCATCTCATTTCCCAGTCTCATTCCATGTCCATTTCCTTCCCGGCACGGTGTGGCCCACTACCCGCGGCTAAGCCGTGTGGCCCCAGGTCCGCCGGGAGCTTGGCCCGCCGCGGAAGCTGCTGGCCCAGTGGCCGGAGCCGGCACGCTTCTTCGAGGCGCGGTGCCCCCCCCCATGGACGGTGCCGCCACGGACGGGGTGCGCGGGGAGTTTTGGTTCATCAATCACCTCGTTGAATCTTCTTGGCTCTTGAAAGTTTGTGTTGAGCCTTTGTGGTTTTTCTGGGGTCTTGTTATGCATGTTTTAGGGTCATAACTTTCACTTCATTGTTTGGATTGAATGAAGGGGATAATTGTTGAGGTGGTCAGAGTTTCTATGTGTAGGTTCAGGTTCAAATTTTACCAAGTTGCTCTTCAAAGATGTCGAATTATTTGCTTCAAATTCATGTATTGATTGAGGTTAGGCGCCGTGGTTCCTGTTTGGTTTTGCCTATCAAGCATCCTTCAATCCAAAGCCAGTTTGGCACAAATTGACTGAACCGATGTATTGTCCTTTTTCTTTGACATTCTGCCACCTTTTACAATTTTTTTGGGTCTGCGTGCCAGCAGCGTTGGTGCGGGCATTTGGAGATGTTTTTGATCGGGGTTTCCCGTGTGTTTTGAGTTTTGCCAAGGTTTCAGCACAACTCATCCTTGCTAGTTGAAACTTGAAACAGATCAAACTCGGGAACAACCCACCCGGGTCGCTTTGCACCTCGTGCGGGAGGTGTTGTGGTGAAGAACCGCCGCAACAGCACGGCCTTTCCTCAGGTCACGAAGCTCCACTGCAACAGCAGCAGCGTGGTCATTGGCACGCCCTTCAACGTGTGTCGCAGTCTGCAGTTATTTCGGCACCGGCGTTCGGGACGTCCCGGTGAACGCCGGGCCGGGCGAACGCGACGCGAGGAGGTGAGTTTGATGCCCTGATTGGTCTGCTGATGTAGCAGCATCAACCCCACTGAGGCCATGACTCAATGGGTGAAAAACTCATCTACTTCTGTCGCAGTCTCCACTGAATCCTGGAGTCTGTGCACCACCTCAGTCTGTCCAGTCTCCCAATTTTTTTTGTCCCGTTTGAGTCATGAGGCACACTGCCCCACGTGCAGACGAGGGTCTAGGCCGGCTCGGTGGGGCTGTTGTTTCATGGCTTGAAGATTGCGCATGGGTTTTCATGCATGTTCATTGCGATTCCACTGGAACGCGCCCTAGTCGGATCCTGCTTTTCTTCATGCACTGGAAAGTCTTGAAAGGGATTCAATTCTATGCCTTTGCTGTGTAGATGTAAGCATCATGTTTAGGCTGCACGGAAAGCTTGTATGCTCCTTTGGCCTGGCTGGGGGGTCATTCTGGTTCTACTCACAATTGTGAATAAACGACCATGACGTTTCCTGTGTTGATTCAACCTTGCTTCAAAAATATTGACGATTTCTATAACCAAGAGGACCAATGAGGGCTTCAGCTCAGAGAGCTGGTCAGCTCAGCGTCTTCAGACCAAGACCACTGTCTCAGGCCCTTTGGCGCAGATTGGTGAGTTTGAGATGAAAGCTGCATGGTGTGAACCAGGCAAGATCTGGGGACTAGTGGGAGGTATCCAAGCGTTGTGAGACCAGAATTGAATAGCCCAATTGCACACTAATGATCGTGATTGAAACGGACATACAACCATCAAAGACAGGAAAGGAAAAGGACCTTGCCTTCTGATCAGGTTCATCATGTAAACAAAAAAAACTATATATAAAATTAAGATGGACGGCACCTTTTGTTATTTTCCCACAGATAGTGATATCTTGTGCTATCTGGGGTCTGAGTCTATGCTGGCTGCTGCACTGCCATTTGGAAACCAGCAGAAGGACAACCAAGGGACAACAGGAGGACACGAAGAGGAGGAGAAGGACGACAAGGTCTGGAGACTTCTGGCGCCGGACAACAGGAGGACAAGCTGTGGAGACCATTTTTGGCAGCCGCGGCCAAGCTGGCATCAGGAGGACAAGTGGAGGAGAAGAAGAGACAAGAGGAAGACAAGAGGAGCAAGAAGAGGACGAGAGGAGGACAACGGGGCGACAAGAAGAAGACAAGAGGTCTGGAGACCGACCGGCTGGCAGCCGCGGCCAAGCGGTGGAAAAGGAAAAGGAGAACAGGAGGACCACGCCCGCACACAGCGTGCACCAGCGCGGCCAGAGGCTGTGGCGTCCCCAGGCGGAATCAAGCGCCCCAATGCGGGAAAACAATTGCACACGCGCAAGCCTCCCCCTGTTGTTCTCTTTTTGCGGGGTTGTCTTGTAAGAAAAAGCTGTCAGGCCGTGCCGGCGAGCCCCCTTCCCTTCTTGTCGCAATCTTTTCGGCCCTGTCCTCCTCATGTTCTTCTATTGCCTGCTTGTTCTCCTTCTTCAAGTGTTCATTGGCCGCGGCTGCTAGCCTATCTCCTGTCGTGCTCCTCTTGTCCTCTCTTCCTCTTCTCCT